CACATGGGGAAAACCACCAACAGAAGTCCACTTCGGAATAATGAAAAACGTTGCATCGAGTTAGAGAGCGTTTCTGCTGGACTAAAGCAAAAATAGTGTCAATCTTGTGATGCCTGTGCGAGAGGGAAAGGACTGAAGAAGGGAAAGGCAGCCGAGGGAAGGTGCAACGTTATGTTATGTAGGTGCGCCTTTTGAACGTATCGCCTTTGGCTTCCTGGGATCTATGCCACAAACTGATAATGGCAACAAATACATCCTCGTTGTCATAGATTACTTCCTCAAGTGGCCAGAAGCATATCCTATTCCTGATCAAGAGGCTGTCACAGTAGCAGAGGCATACAGCACTGGATTTCCAAGTTCGATTAGTCTCTTCAGTTACATTCCGATCAAGAAAGAAATTTTGCATCGGCTGTAATTAAAGAACTTTGCAAGCTACTCGACATTGACAAAACCCAAACGACACCTTTACATCTCTAGTCAGACGGCATGGTAGAGATGTTTAATAGAACCATCTTGAATAACCTCTCATTAGTGGTTTTCAAAAACAAACAGAACTGGGTTACAAGACAGAGAAGTTGCCTCTGTTTTTACTCGCTTATCGCAGTGCTGTCTACGAGACTACCGGTTATTCCCATCTCAGATGCTCTTTGGTTGTGATTTTCGTCTGCCTTGTGATCTCTTGTTTGGTCGCCTTCCGGATACGCCTTCATCGCCTAAGTAATACATTAAAGATCTCCACGTACGGTTTGAAGCGTTTCACAGTTTTGCATGAGAAGCGATGGAAAAGATGAAGACCCGATACTGCAAGACAGCTACAGGACATCGATTCAACGAACGTGATAATGTGTGGTTATGGAATCCTATTGGACGGAAAGGACTTTCTCCTAAATTACAGTTAGCCTGGGATGGTCCTTATACAGTAACAAACAGGCTAAGCGATATCGTATTTCGGATCCATTAAGAATTTTGAGTCTAAAATCGTTCATTACGATAGGCTAGCCCCTTATTATGACCATAGTGTAAATATTATGCCAAGACCATCGTTCCATGTGTATATAAATTTATTTATTGATTTAGTATTTGATTTGCTGTATTCTATTTACTGAAATTATTATTTTATTATTGCATGAAAAGGTTTCAAGAATAAAAGCCTCGTCGAAAAAATAAGGTTACAGGGGCAGGTCCATTTAACATTGAGGTAAATAGCTATTGGCGACATAGCGTTAAGCTGGGACTGGTTTTCGCAACTAATTTTGATCGCCAAATTTGGAGAATAATAGCCAAAAGTCGATAAATCTGGCGACTATTTGGTGACATTTTCGTCCGATTTCTATGCAACTGTCACTGTGTCCGTCTCTATGTAACTGTAACTGCGTATACCTTCTGGCAATCTCAAAATATCGAAGGCACTGCAAACTTTTCGGTGGCGGGAAAGAACTCTACAAGATCGGAGTTTAGTTTACAGAGTCAGAGTTTAGCTTACAGTACTGAGAGTATTGAAAAATCAATGAGCTCTTCAGGTTTATACAATGAGGCTTTGTATATTGTTTTGTGTTTAACGATCTTAGTAGTTTGAAGTGGTAGCTACTGTTCGTACTCTCTCATACAGAGAAGAGCTGAATGGTTACTTTTGTAAAAGCTCCAGAACTGTAAAATGTTTTTTTTGGGGGGGGAAATAAATTTTATCAATCTATCATCGGTTCTGTACGCATCAATCCATCATGACACCGTACATACGTAACAATATTATTTCATTCGTATCTGATCAATCAGTTAAGGAAAAAAATGGTTTTAAAAATGGTTAAAAAATGGTTAAATAATGGTTTGTGAACTTTCAGAAATAGGCAATTGATTGTTGAGGTTTTTGAGATCGAATTTGTAGAGACGCTCTATCGGCAACAACAGAAAAAGAAAAATTGGTTTGAAAATTAGCACGTTTAGCGAATAGAAACTTTAAAGTTATAGATATTTTCACCTTCTCTGCGTGCTTTTTTGGTGTTAGTGTTTAGCACGTTCGTCAAGAAAATCCATAACTCGAAATTCAAAGAAAGCTCAGTGAGTTTTTAATGTTTCCCGATCCAAAATGTTTAAAAATTTTAATAAACTTTAGCATAATTTGAGATGCAAAACTTAATCTGATCAATTTAGAAACTAATAATTAATAAGATACATAGATTGTCTAAGAATTTGAGAAATCCACGTAAGCTCTTGGATCAGTTAATTAGTGTGAATTAGATCCAAAAATTGTGCAGAATTCAATCATGATGCTGATAAAAACTGTTTTTTCAAATACTAATTATGAAGTTAAAACTCAGTTTTAAAAGTTTTGAAAATAAAGTGCGATAGGCATGAAAACCGTATCTGAAAATATATGCAATGTTTATAGAATTTCTAAATTTTATGAAGTTTGAAAATAACTACTTGAATGCATAGTTCTACTTAATTTCGAAATAATTTTGAAGTAACCCTTAAACAATTTCAGAATTCGACAGCAAGATTCAAAAGAGATCCCGCATTTTGTTAAATGCATCAAGAAAACATACATACACGTTTAGCAGAAGAAATTGCAGAAGAAACAAATTTCTCTAGCTGAGGTCAGCTAGATGCAAAATTAGAAGTTTATATAAAAATAAGGCTATTACTACGCGAACTGAAAATGGCTGAAAACTGAAAATGGCTAAAAAGAGATCTGTATTTGTTGTGAGAGGTAGCTTGGAAATATTATTTATACTTTATAAAAATGTTGTGTGTACATAAATTGTTTTATATATTTTTATATATTGTTAAATATCCTAATTAATGAAAATATTACATTCATTCAATGAACTCTTCAGATGGTATTTTCTGAACGGAGGTTAGCTGTCAGTTTGAAGCCGCGATTGTAGATTTAACTTTCTGTGTAAGGACTTGTTATTTCCACATTAACCTCTCCCTGAGCGTATATCATCGGCCTCTCTTTGGAGTCCTCGGCCATGTTTCTTGGCGAATGTATGATCGGCAAGTGCTCGGTCGTTTAGCTGCACACATACATTTATTTAATAAATTATTATTAATAAGTTGTCAAAAGGCGTTTAAAAGTAACAAGAGTTAATGCTAGGATTTTTCCTTTTTACTACTTCTCTTTGGGAAAAATTTCACTATAAAGACTCCTTGAAGTTTGAACTATTATAACATTTTAGTGCCTCAATCCTTTCTAAATATTCCACTTTCATTATATTAAAAATGTTCAATTTGTGGTTGAGTTGATTCTCTATTTTCTGTACAGTGTCATTTGATATAAGGTTTCAAAACTGCTAAAAATTTGCTTTTAGCTTCATTATTAAATTGCGCAGCATTCTCACATTTTTTATAATGGAACATATAGTAGCATGCATGTTTTATTTCTATGGGAAAAGTTCTGGTTTTAACTTCTTATACCTTTATTGTATATATATACTTCACCCAAGTCTTACCGACTGATATTATTCAAAGCCCCCACTGCCGCTAAGAATTTTCGGACACCCTACACTTATGAGTCAGACACGAAGAGAACACTTTGCCAACTCACCCCCACTAGAAAGAATGTAAGTTACTTAATACCTTTTCTGGCCTTTATATCTTCATGCACATTCACTGTTCTTATTATATATTATTTTTTATATTATTTTTATATCGTCTTTGATATGTTTTTACAAAGTTTGCATTATTTATCTTATTTTGTAATCTTCTATGTTTATTTCAACTTTACTTTGAATTCGATTTCACAATGACAATTTCCAATGTTTAATTTTTATAAGCAAAGTAACAACATTATTTTTTGGCAAATTTTAAATAAAACTCTATCTCTAGATAAAACTCGAGGGCGATCAGACGCATGTCCCTCTTCTTTAGGAGAAAAAATATTCGGCAGAAATTTTTTGCTCTTGAAGAAGAAAGAGCCTATGAAATGCTCTCGAACGCCCTCGAAATCGGTAGAGTTTAATTTAAAATATATGACAAAATAAATTTGCTGTTTTGGCCTATTTTAAGTCTAGAATAATATACTAAATATTAAATACTTCAGAATTTAAGCTGATTTTAACACTTAAGAATACAGATTTTAAAGCTTCAGAATAAATAAGATAAAGAAATAATGGACAGAATAAATCCATAAGCTATATTTTTGTAAAGAATTCATACAAATTTTATTATATTTATATTATAATGTACTGAATAAAATATTAATTATGTTTTATTTTATATTGTCCATTCCTGTTGCTTTACATTTAGTCCGTTTTAGTTCACCTTTTGTGTCATGGGCAGTCCCTATCATTCTACTTCTGTCTACGCTTCAATCACATTCTGTGAACTCCAATTTGTCATGTGTCTTACTCTTTTCATATTACTTTTGCGCTTGTGCTATTTAGTGCTTGTGTTAATATACGTCTTAATCTCTTCATTGGGCAGTTCAAAGTATTTCTGCAATACTTTGTACTATTGAATTATATGAAGCTTTTTTTCTCCCATGTAATCTAGCACTTTCTTCTCGAGTACATGCATTATGAGGTGAAAAACTGAATAATTATATTTAAATATATTTCTAATGTAGTATTATTTATAAGGATTTAATCATAACGAAATACATGCAAAATACCATCTCGAATATTCTCATTAAATTGAATTTCACCCAATTTTAATGAAGCGTGTATTCCTTCAGTTATGCATATAAACCTGAGAGTCTCTATTGACTATTTTTTAAACTAGATGTCCAAGCTCGACAAACACTTTTTGACAAGCAGTGGATTCTCCTAACTTTTGAGTTTTATAAATTAAAATGTGAATTTCCTCTGCCAAATTGAAACATCAAATTTTCAGTAAATCTTTCATAAACACGGTGTTTTCGGCAGAAGATCCGCCATCTGTATGGAATTGGGTCGCTACCAACAAACCATGCGTTTTGTGTCTTTGCGGGCTGGTGTTTCGGATGAGTGAAGGCCTAGTTCTCTTCTCCACCCCAGAGGTCTCTGTCGACGGTTGAAAAGCCTTCCAAAAATAAAAGCCAACTTCTGCAAGGCCGAGGACGAATTGTGCTCATGGGATTCACCAAGGACGCGTTTTTTGTCACTCCTCGCAACAGACGGAGCTCGGGGTTTTTTTGGATGCGTCTGATGGCAGACTCACAGGTAAGCGACCTACCTGTTGGATAATAGAATAATATGGCAAGAATCTGTTTTACTGAAATTGAAAAAGTTCCATCAAACCACGATCCATCTTTTAAATGAAATTAACGTTCAATTTACTGATTATCACTTTGTGAATTCAGAACAGTTTGTAACTTATTAAAATATCATTGCGAAATATTTAATGTCAAGCACAGGGATAGGAATTTTTAATTTTTAAAATATCTAAATAAAATTTAAGTAATATATATCAATTAAATGAAATTATTTTATAATTAAAGATTATATAAGGATACCATATTAATTATTTTTTTAAGTCATGCTAAGTACTTTTCTTTAAGTTTACTAGCTAAGTATATTTTTAAAAGCAAAAGTTCAAAATGCATTATAAGAGGAACTCTATATTTGGCTTAAAGATTAAAGCACTTTTATCGAAACATATTCCCTCAATAAAGAGCCAAAAATGGTTAACTGTTGGCTGATCAAAAGTCCGAAACGTCTAGAGAATTCGTGAGTTTTCTAAAAAATTAGTACACTATTTTCTAAACTAACGTTTCTTAAAAAATTTTCGTTTAGAAATACAATTTTGTTTGAGAACTGTAAATATTAATGGATATGTCTTCCCTCGCTAAAACCTTTTATGCATTGTTATACAGAGAAATTTTATATAAACATAAAATATATGTAAAAATGAATAAATTTATGCACCAATATTTTAGTGTAGCAGAATACTGCATAATATTTTCCGAAGTGTTAATAAAATAATTAAGTATAATAAATTTCATATAATATTACTTTTGATTAAATAAAGGCTCATCTTACTAGGCTAGAGAAATGTATTCAGTACTTTGGGGAAGTAAAAACCTCATAAAAATTCTCATCTGTAAAATTATTCTCATTTCAGTCGAGTTCATTCAAAAGTTGCTTATAAAATAATGCAGTGTTTCACATTATATTTTAAAATAATGAGATTTTCCCTAATTATTAATTTTCCAAAATATAACTTTAATATAAAGCTTTTGTAGAAATGTGAAAATTTGGAGATTTCGTTTTTTAAATCTGTCTATTATATTATCAGTTATATCAAAACTTCGCTAAATAATATATTTATAGATTAAAAAAACATATTGTCACAATTCTCAGCCAAAGCTAAATTATTTTCGAGAAAAAAATCAAATAAAAGCAATTATATAAAATCGAATTACATAAAAGTTCTTAAGTTACGAAACGAAATTAATCTGTAGGATTCTGTCCAACAAAAAAAAAAAAAAAGAAGAAAAAGAGAAAAAAAAAAGTCTTAAATGTTTCAGATTTTAAATTACGTCCAAAGGGGCGTTTTTTAACATTTTGTGTGTTACCTTTCTTTATTAAATATCATGTTCCTCGCACTTAAACCATAAGATCCAGTGCAACAGCAATATCGCAAAATAGTTTTAAAACGAGCATATCTTTAGAATTTCCGATACAGAGACTCACGCGCTGGAGATAAAAATGTTTTTCTGAACAACGTTGCCATTGCTTGCTTTGAAATCCTTGAGTTTGTTAATCAAAAATTCGTCAAAGTTTTAAAAAATAGGAAATCGATCATAAAACAAATTTCAAATTTCAAATTTGGTCTTCCACATGCTCATATTCGTTGGAGGATTACGTTATTCAAAATTCGATGACTCTATGTACCGTTGTTTTATCACAATACGAGAAATATACATACATTTATGCAGATTTTTCATTATTTAATTTCTTCAAATATAATGCAGGACTCTAACATTTTGTGGCAACAGTTTGAAAAGTGAACCGATCCGCGAAAATGCCAAAACGAAACTAATAGTCCTTCGGGATTCAAATCCCTTTGGACTAAAAAAAAAAAAAAAAAAATCTGAAATGTTTCAGATTTTAAATTACGTCCAAAGGGGCGTTTTTTAACATTTTGTGTTTACCTTTCTTTATTAAATATCATGTTCCTCGCACTTAAACCATAAGATCCAGTGCAACAGCAATATCTCAAAATAGTTTTAAAACGAGCATATCTTTAGAATTTCCGATACAGAGACTCACGCGCTGGAGATAAAAATGTTTTTTCTGCACAACGTTGCCATTGCTCGCTTTGAAATCCTTGAGTTTTGTTAATCAAAATTCGTCAAAGTTTTAAAAAATAGGAAATCGATCATAAAACAAATTTCAAATTTCAAATTTGGTCTTCCACATGCTCATATTCGTTTGGAGGATTACGTTATTCAAAATTCGATGACTCTATGTACCGTTGTTTTATCACAATACGAGAAATATACATACATTTATGCAGATTTTTCATTATTTAATTTTTTCAAATATAATGCAGGACTCTAACATTTTGTGGCAACAGTTTGAAAACCGTTAACCGACGCAAAATGCCAAAACGAAACTAATAGTCCTTCGGGATTCAAATCTCTTTGGACTAAAAAAAAAAAAAAAATCTGAAATGTTTCAGATTTTAAATTACGTCCAAAGGGGCGTTTTTTAACATTTTGTGTGTTACCTTCTTTATTAAATATCATGTTCCTCGCACTTAAACCATAAGATCCAGTGCAACAGCAATATCGCAAAATAGTTTTAAAACGAGCATATCTTTAGAATTTCCGATACAGAGACTCACGCGCTGGAGATAAAAATGTTTTTTCTGCACAACGTTGCCATTGCTCGCTTTGAAATCCTTGAGCTTGTTAATCAAAAATTCGTCAAAGTTTTAAAAAATAGGACATCGATCATAAAACACATTTCAAATTTCAAATTTGGTCTTCCACATGCTCATATTCGTTGGAGGATTACGTTATTCAAAATTCGATGACTCTATGTACCGTTGTTTTATCACAATACGAGAAATATACATACATTTATGCAGATTTTTCATTATTTAATTTCTTCAAATATAATGCAGGACTCTAACATTTTGTGGCAACAGTTTGAAAAGTGAACCGACATTTATTCGTCCGACGCAAAATGCCAAAACGAAACTAATAGTCCTTCGGGATTCAAATCCCTTTGGACTAAAAAAAAAAAGAAAAGAAAGAAAGAAAGGAAAAGGAAAAAGTTTCATTATTTATTCTCACATTGTTTTGTGGTTTACAGATTTCTTGGGATATAATGTTTCTCATCTTAAAATGTAAAATGCCGAAATTTTCTCCTTTTTTTAATGCGCCTTTTGCGTCAAGTCATATATGTAATTCTTTAATTAGTGAAGTTATTAGTATAATAAAGTTTGGTTTGTTATTTTCTGTGAATTTTTGCATTTGGTGATTCATTAGAATGAAAGCTAATACTTCGAACTGCTATTCAACTACAGAAAACGGTTGGATGTCGAATTAGATTTACACATACACATTTCAAACACTGATGTAAATAGTGCATATCTAGTTAGAAACAACGCTGTATAATAAATATATTTATTTAATGTATTGCAATTATAATTTTATTTTATTTTTAACAGAGCTAATTTTAATTAATTCCAAATTTGAGGTTTTGATCATTTATGCTAGTAAGAGAAAAAGCGTCTAAAGATATGAAAATACTTTCTTAGCATACGCTCAGCAAAAATATGAAGCTAAACGTTTAGATAGTAAGCAAACTGCATATCATTTGCAGAGGATCATTGAAATCATAAAGTAAATCTTAACAGCAGGTGCCTTAGAGTTATACCTCATGTATTCTTAGAGTGCTGCCACATGTTTTGCTAGTTCTAAATACCTGAGGATAATGAAATATGGAATATGTTAGAATAATATTCCTTTTTTGAAACTAGAGTTGTGATTTCTTGTATGTACTTGGAAGATTGAAATAGCGAAAAAATAGCACGTAACTTAGTGTACCTTATTTTAATTAAGTACTTTCACTCTTTACCACAATATTTAGAATTTCCTTAAGTAAATTTAAAAGCTACCCATTGATTACATTAAATCAAAATGACTTTTGATTTCAACAGGAAAACAGTACTGTATTTGATTAGTTTTCAACCATATCTAGCGAATCTTTCAACCAAACTTTATTATACTAATTCTAGTGAAATATCTAGCGAAAACTTTTTTTTTTTTTTTGTTGTTGTAAATATTGTTTTAACGTGGATAAAACCACCTAAAGGTTTATTTATTTATTTTTTTTTGGTTCGCTTTCTCACTTCATACAAAATTTAACTAAACACGAATATGATTAAAGTTATCAAAGAAACCCTCTAAGGTATTTCTCCCGCCTTCTTAGCATGCTTTCTTAGTGTAGTGGTCAGCACGCTCGACGCGATTCGAGAGGTCCGTGAATCACGTCCCAGCGAGAGCATTGCTCATTTTTCATCATACTTGCTTCGAAATAACCTAATGTCTTTAAAACCTATGGAACACGGTAAAACCTGGAAAATATCACTAAGATCAAAAACTGCATTAAGTGTCACTGAGTAACTTCTATAAGTGTATAAACTGGAAAGAATGTTTACCTTTATCTATTGTATTTCGGATGTATAAACTGTCATCAGGCTACTCTTAACAAGCTGACACCGAATACTGACTATTTACTACCTGCACGATGTTTTAAAGCTGACATAATTATTCTACATAAACCATATTTAGAGTGGCCTACTACAAACGTTCAGTTTAATCTGTAAAATTACTACTAAAAATGGGTATTTTCAGTTCTCGCTTGCCGCACAAACTTACGCTTACAAGCATTTATACCTTCTCAGGGATGCGAACCCCGGCCCATCGGTACGCAGTCAGCATCATTAATCACTATGACGGTTGGGTGTCCACCTATAAATGCAGTCTGATCTTCCTCTGAACATAATTACGGTTTGGACATAACAGTTTGAATTTGGTTGGAAAAATTCTGAAATTATTCTTCATCAAGTACAACCAATCTGTCGGGGATGAGTAGCAAAGACGTTGAACATCAGTAGTTTGACTCGAGTTTAAATACTGGAAAATAGCGACTGTATGAGAATTTGGGTAGAGTCTTCATGTGTAACATGGATACCAGCCAATTTC